GGCCCGCGCACCGTCCTCTGCTACCTGTGCGGGCGCGAGTTCGGCAGCGCGTCCCTTCCCCTGCACGAGCCGCACTGCCTGCAGGTGAGCCACGCCCCCCGCCCCCGACTGCCCGCGCGTTGCTCCGGGTTGATTGCTTGGTGGTATCAGACGCGTCAACTGTTGAGGTCATTAATTCCGAAAGTGCAGTGCATGTTTTTTATGTGAGAAGGCGGTGATCTTGCCCCGCTGGATCCCCTGCTCTTTCCCTGCACGAACCGCACTGCCTGCAGGTGAGCCACGCCGTATTGCTCTGGATTGGTTGGTTAGTGGTAACGGGCACGTCAACTGCTAAGGTCATTTGCCCCGTAAATGTGGTGCATGTTTTTTTTATCGCGTGACGTGGCGGTGATCTTCCTCAGCTGCATGGCAAGATCCGGCGCCGACCAACACGTATATACGTTTGGAATTAAGATAGACAGATAGATAGATAGACAGATAGATATATAGATAGATAGATAGATAGATAGATAGAAAGATAGAAAGATAGATAGAAAGATAGATAGAAAGATAGATAGATAGGCAGATAGATAGATAAATCTTTACATCTGTAACGTCTAAGTTATAATTCATCATTTAAATCCATTCAATGATATTATTATAACAAATCAAGATTTCCTATGATTCATTGATTTCTAATCAGATGAAAATGTGAGGAGTGTAAAATTAGCATTGATGCGGAAATGCAGCAGAACCTAACATCATGGTTCATCGTCAACTAATCTGACAGCTGACTTTCGCACTTGAGGCGGTAAGGCTGCCGGTGTCATTGATCTGCGTTGACCCTTCGCCTTGGGAGAAGCACTCTCGCGGCCTCCGCCTTCTAATCGTGAACGCGCAACGGCCGAAGGTGCTCGCACAAAACTCTACATTTTAGTGCATCACACGAGTTATAATTGTCAAAATCACTTGAAAATTTGAGTGTTTGAGTTTCAGATTATGCACTATCTACTCGTAGTCTCATAAAAATCTGAGTGTCCGTCATCGCGAGTGTTGCGTGTGAGCATGAGTTTACGGTGACGCACCCCTCAGCATTCATTGGTGCAGAATACTCGGTCTGGGAGAGGAACGTCGGTTCAAAGGAGTAGGATTCTGTTGATATTAATAAGCATTGCCATAAAAAATTGCCAACACTCATTGAATATGGAAATCATTTTAAGATATATTCATTTTTGTTTGAGTTATTGTGTTTAAATCTTGACAAACAATGAATGTTAACACAAATTTTGACTCTACTCTACTGTATAGAGTGGCTTAAAATTGGGACATTACGATTTTAGGCCACTGGATGGATGGATGCTGGAGAGAGCTCTTCCTGGGTGGAAACATGCCTGCCATAGTCCTTTGGTTCAGTTCAGGTTGCAATTGCATTGTGATAATCGTTCACATTGACTCCTGGCCAAATTTGTGACTGTTTTCGCCGACCAAGCTGATGTTTTACAAATGGAAGGAACTAATTTTGTGACGTAATCGCATTGAGCGTTTCCAGCTTCCTGAACACGCGTGAAGAGGCATTCGCTGTCGACGAGTGCATATTCACTTGCGTCGTCCGTGGCCGCGTTGAAGGTGCCCTTTCGTTCCAGCTAGGACAGCGCCGGCTCGTCCCAAGGCCTCCCATTAGCAAACGCCTGGCGCGGCGGGCGGGGGAACTCATCGATTGGCGGCGCCCGGGTCAGCGCCGCCCGCAATGGATATCGAGTGCTGCCTTCCGCGAGAAGAGCACCCGACTACTCCTCGGAGTTTGGGGATTCGTTCTGTTGCTCTAGAGGCGCTTTCGAAATGCCCGTTTAGCAATTCCAAATGGCCTAATTATAAATTGACAAGAAGTAATTTAGCAAGCCTCAAGAATAACTTTCCATTTGGTATGATCAAATATTGATTTAGATCATTGCATTTGAAATAGAGAATTATTAGAGTGATAAATAAGTCAGTCGTTATTAAATCTTGGGTGTTTATCTCAATAGAAAGTAGAGCACAATTTGATCGGAGTCGGTTAAAAATGATTAGTCGACACAGTGCCGCATGTGCCAAATTGTAGGTACTATAATAAGTTAATAAAACCACCTGGTACCCGATGTTCATCATAAGTAATGCTGATGAAAATTTCGATACGCAAATTTCCTTCACATTTCAAATTTATTTCTCCTAAAATGACGCTAACGAGCGACCAAACTCCTGGCTCTTGTGGGGAGGAAGGCTTGAAGAACGTGAATGTGCTCTCCACACAGACTAACCAGGCCGAAGCGGTCCAACGACTACGAACGCTGTGGAGTCGCTCCACTCTGCGACAGCGACTCAGCACGAAATCTAACCTCACTTCCAGTGGAAATAGCTATTCTGGAAGGAAACAAATCAGCCAAAATCGCTTATAAAGTCCAAAACCACAAGTGCAGCTTTAACATAAATGAGCGCAAAACATAGAAATATTAATGGAAAATGCTGAACTGCAGCGAATCTGACCAAACCGGTCTCTCCGAATCTCAGTCGGCCACCTTCTACATTTCTTATTTATGGACAAAAAGTTATGATTTAACCCCCCCCCCCCTCATTTCCTTAGAAGTTAGTTACATTTATTGTAAGGCACTTATATAAATTCCCTTTTAATTGTGAATTTTGATTAGTGTTGAGTGTAACTATAGTACAACTTACTTAATTCGGAATTTCAATGGCCCAGTAGTTTTTCCGTATTAGACAAGATTCCGCAATATGCAATATAATAGTTTACTCTTCACGTTTGGCAGGACCGCGAATTATGTTCACAT